ATAGGACCTACAATAATGTACAGTATTTGAAAAATAATGTGTTTTTTGAACATTAAAGCATGTCAAAATATTCTGTTACACCAAATACACAAAATAATGATCTTTAAAAAAGCATCATATGACCCCTTTAAATATTTCTATCTAGCTTTATTTTTATATTTCAGGTTTATTAACTTATTTCACAGAGTTCCGAAGGCAACATTACTAATTCTTGTTAACGTTTTAAAAAAAATTTCATGCAATATTTACATTTTATTATATTTCAGCTTTATTTCAATGAACACTAGTGATGTTAACAGTATTAGTTAACACTAACACTGTTCAGGACATACCGTGGCACATGTGAAGGGTGTAAATGTGATTGATTTTGCATGCGAAGAAACGTTCCTACCAGTGGAATGATGAAACTCTGTGTAAGTTCCAGGAAATATCGACGCAGAATTGCATTCTGGGCCGCTGAAGGACGCTTCTGCTGGACTCCCTGATGTTAACAGCAAAAATACTGAATTAATACATGCGCTTGAATGTTTTAGCAGTGATATAAAACACCAGAGAGACACTCACCTTCTGCAGCTGCTTGATAATGTCCTCGTCTTTGTTCAGGAACGGTTTATATGCAGTGTAGACACCTGAGACCAGACGTGACACCAATAAACCTTCAGTGTACGCTGGGTTTTATTTATTTGCTTTTACACTTTGGAGTTTCTCTGTAAGGGACTCCAGTTTAACTCAAACATTACCAGAAAGAAAAAAAGACCAGATTCGGTGGTACTTCTGATGTTTTGAATACTAAATAAAGCCTGTATGAATGAAAAACACAATCAAATGCACTCCTGAGAGTTTCTCATTCAAGTCTCACCAGGTTTTGAGTCCAAAGTCTTCAGATTTTTTAGTTTCTTCACTTTCATTTGTTTGGCCATCTCTCCTTTAAAAAAAAAGATGTTATAATAAAGAACAAAGCACGTTCAATGGCCAAAAACCATCTTTAATGACAAATTAACATATTGACGTTTGTATTTACTGTTAATATAAACTTTGGAGAGTTATAATATTCCTCAAACATATCAAAGTCTAATTATATTTAACTATCCATGCAGTTAGTTGATAATTAAAGGTCAGAACCTGCTTGTTTCATGTCTCCGATGCGGATGATGTGAGGCCAGTGCTGGAGAGTTTTGGCGAAAAATGGGTTTGTAACTCCCAGAATGACTGAAGGCCTACAGAAAAACAATGTACGGTTAACAGAGAGAGCTAGTGAGAGTGTCACAAACACTTCCTGTGTGAGCTCCAGAAATATCCTCATCCATCGATCTGAACGCAGAACAGCATCTCATCTATCATACGATCATCCTGCGTGACACTGACCGAATTACACGCTTCGTTTGTAGGTCAAAAGAACGAGAAACTCTAAATATTACACACCTGTCTACACATACACAGGAAAAAATTAAATAAAAATTAAATATAATACAATAAAATATTATAATAAAATGAAATTAATATTACAATATTTAATCCAGTATATTAAATATATTAATAAACTAAATTATAATTATTTTGAAAACATTTAATGAAAACAATTACATTTTAGGAGCAATTAAATTACAGGAATATTAATAGTCCCTCAGTTTCTTCACTCAATCGCTTTTTGAAAAAGCACATTTAAACTATATATATATTATAATAAATTACAATAAATATTTCAGTATTTAATACAATACATTAAATATATTAATAAATAAAAATTATAACAATAAATACATTTAATAACAATAATTAACTTATACAAATGCAAAAAACATTAATATATTGTAGGTTAAATATAAATAAGAACAGGAATAGCCCCTCAGTTATGGCACTCAAACAAATGCGGATTTATTTTTATATTTAATCTATCTATCTATCTATCTATCTATCTATCTATCTATCTTTTTAGAAAAATACAGTTTG